GGGGGTGAAGGTTGGCGAGGGGGCCGCTGGCTGGGCATCAGTCGGCCGGCAGGGAGCAACGGTTTTCCTTTGCGTCGCTTGTTTTTCTTGGGCTTTCTTTTCCTCCCTTTGTTGTTTTACTTCCTTGCTTTTTTGTATTTCATTCCTTTTTAATTATGACACCGCCTTTCTCTCGCTTTTACCCTTCCAGTCCGTCCGTCCGTGTCCGTCCCCCATCCCCACGAGAGTCCTTTCGGTGCCCGACATGGGGCACGAAGGGTTTGAGAGAACAACAGATCTCACCAGAGCGCATTAGGAGGCGTTTACAGCGATCGTTATCTATCAACAGTTGCCGGTCACGATATTGACTCATCTGTTCGCGATACCGATCCGCATCGCGCTCTTTCTTTTTGGTTTTTTTTTCTCGCTGTACAGGTTAGAGGTCGGCGCCGGTTTTCGCCGTTCGCTGGGCTCCGCAGCGACCGGCGACGTTTCGCCGGGGAGGTTCCGTTTACTGCAACGCTGACCTGGAGCTCAGCCGGGTGTTTCAGCTTCGTCCCGCAGCCCTGACCGTACTTCGGGTACCGCTTCGTGGAGACCGTTAGCAAAGTACAGCCCCTTCCTCCGAGAGGGTGTGTTTTTTTTTTACGGAGGAAATACAGAACGGCAGCGCCGCCACCTTCTTCTACGACGTCTCCTCCTCCATTACAGTAACTTTCCGGTACCTTGGACATCCCTGGGTCGTTCAGGTACTTCTGTCGGGTGTTTTCTCGGGAATACTGTTTCAGTTTTGCGTTAAGGTTAACAAGCGATTTAGGAATACGACCCAGGCCGCGCGAGAGCGTGGTGACGGGCGGCACGGCGCGCGGGAGAATACGGGCGGGTCTCTAGAGAACTTCTCGCCTCCGTCGGTCTGGAACTTCCCTCCCGAACAAGCGCGGGATTCCCGATGAAGTGATCGAACGGTCGGAAAAAAAAAAAAAGACGACCGGACTCTTCCAGAGAGGCAGAACTTACCAGAGCGTGCCGGGGCCCCGGCCAGCACCCACCGAACACGGCTCGGTATTACGCAGCCCCCTCAGGGAGAAGAGAGGGATCCCGTTGGCAAAGGGATCGGGAAAGGGGCAGCGAGTCCTCAGCCTCTGGAGGCGACTCCCGTCGAGCGTGAAGGACAGGTGGAGGAAGATCTTGCAAATTCCCAAAGCGAACGGAGCACCGTCGAGGGAGAGATGTGGCATCAGCCGCGGTGGAGGTGATCTGCAACAACCTGGGTGACGACCAGGTATCCAAAGGCCCGGATGAAATCCACGCGGCCAGGGGGAGGACGTGAGGAGGTGGGGTGGTGAACCTACCTGGAGACCAGCAGCTCGGGTACAAGGAACTGCAAGGAAAACTGCGAAGGAGGCTCCCCGCACCCTTGGCATGGACCGAGTTGGGGTTGTTCGGCCTGGAGAAGAACGAGAGGGCTCCGGGGAGACCTTACAGCGGCCCTTCCAGCCCTCGAAGGGGGCCTACAGGAGAGGCGGGGAGGGACTCTTTGTCAGGGAGCGCTGTGATAGGACGAGGGGGTAACGGTTTAAAACTGGAAGAGGGAAGATTTAGATCAGATATACGGAAGAAATTCTTCACGCTGAGGGCGGTGAGGCACTGGAAGAGGTTGCCCAGAGAGGTGGTGGATGCCCCCTCCCGGGAAGCGGTCAAGGTCAGGTTGGACGGGGCTCTGAGCAACCTGGTCTAGTTGAAGATGTCCCTGCCCGCGGGCAGGGGGGGGTTGGAACTAGAATCACAGAATCATTGAGGTTGGAAAAGACCTCTAAGATCATCGAGTCCAACCAGCAACGCAACACCACCATGCCCACTAAACCATGTCCCTAAGCGCCTCATCTACACGTCTTTTAAATACCTCCAGGGATGGGGACTCCACCACTTCCCTGGGCAGCCTGTTCCAATGTTT